GTTGTCAACTGAAAATCATTTCTCCCTCGCCAAAATTATGGCAATGCCTCCATTTTCTTGTTCCATCAAATTTAGGGTCTAACCAGCATCATCCTCATTTTCGTGGAATCAAAGTATCCCTAGTTCCGATTCTCCGATTCCGTCTTCCGGTAACCCAAAAGCAATCACGAGGATCTATTGAAAAATAACTAAACATGGTTTGATCGTGTGAATTTTACATGTAATTAATTTCTTTTTCTTAGTACATCATAGTATAGAATTATTGACAATATTGAGAATGAGTCTCATACTGATGGGAGAACGGACCTTGCATAGACTTATAAGAGGTTGGGCTACTCTCTATATTGCCAATTTGTTTTATGGTAGAACCCCAACTTTCTTCATGGTATCAGGGCAGGTTATCTCACGTTTGAAGCCAAACGGCCACACGCGCTCCACGTCACCCCCGTTGTGTTGTTCACGTGTTAGGCTTGAAAATTCGTCATACGTGAGGGGGCGTGTTGAGAATGAGTCACACGTTGATTGGAGGAGGGACCTTGCATGGCCTTATAAGAGATTGAGCTACTCCCCATATTGCCAATTAGTTAGTTTTATGATGGAGCCCTAACTTTATTCAGTATTAAGGAGGTGAGGGAGACTGTAGAATAAATTATGATTTTGTAAAGGTATGAAACTGTGATTTGTTTGGAAGAAAGAAAGAATCCTTACAAGATAGGAGTGAAGTATATTTAATTTTTGGTACAACAATATATTTATATATCAAAGGGAATAAATTGATATTGAACTTGTTATTTACAGAATTCAAACCAAAACTTCTCACATATAATTAAAAAGAAAATTATTAAACTGTAGCACTAAGTAAAAATATGTTTAATATATATATATATATATTTCCCTCCATCTCCTTAGACTTGGTCTGGCTTCTATTTTTATCCCTATCCCTTTTACTGTTCAAGACAACCGGTCATCCGTCGCCCCACGAGGGAAAAGAAAAGAGAAAAGGAAAAGTTAAGTCCATTTTTTCATACTGTGCATGTGGTGTACCATAATGTACGTAGAAAAAGTCTTTTAAGAGATTTACCTATCTGAGATTTTGTTAAAGTAAATGCCACTTTTGACAGTGACATATTTGCTATGATCAACATTCGCTGGACAATGCAAATAACTTTAGAAAAACTAATGAAAAGGGTTTGAAAACTTTGAGTTTTAATGATAAGGACAAAATAAAGGGTAAAGTGAATAGTACCAGGATTGGCTTTTTAGTGTAAAAATGTGGTTTTTCGTTAAAGTGAACAGTACCAGGTGCTTTTCGTTAAAGTTCCCAATAACTTTACCCTTTATTCTTTGTGAAAGAATAAAGAATTTCAAGGGCAGAACTAGAAAATCGTAAAGCAAGAAAATGATTACCATTTAGCTTTTGATTGAAGACATAATCTGGTGAAAAGGGGGGCTTATATTCTTTTCAATGATAAAAGTAATCTTAATTTATTTCGTTAAAAGGAGGTTCAACTTTAGTCACTCTCTAAATACAGTGATAGGCAGCGCAAATGTTGTAACAAACAGAAGAACAATGTCATCAGATTTCAGGAAAAAAGTTATGTTTGAAATCAAAGACAACAGAACGTTGTATTGGGTCTGCAAATGAGGCGTAAGTCCCTTGCTAACTAATTAAGGAAAAAGTTTTCACCATGCTTCATTATATCGTCGATTGTATGCAAGTTTCTCATCTACGTAAACTAAGTCTCTATTCAAAACTTCAATGAAACACGACACAGAAGACGATGGTAATTGCACAAAAAAAAAAAAAAAAAAACGTACGAGTCATAACACACATGAAAAGAAATTGACTTGCACAAAATGGAAGGTGACTTTGGAATAATTCATGTGAACAGTGATAATTTTTTAACATAACTAGATCACTAACAACCAAAAACTATAAACTATATGCATCTTCCACAATATCTGATTAAAATTTCAAAGTTTGTAATTAAAAATACAAGATTTTCCTCCATTTGGGGTTAAAAAATAAAGAGAATTTCACTATCATAATTCAATGCTACACTCAGACAGTCTCCATTGTTTAGGTAAGAAAATGACTACTTTTTATTAATTAATTATCGATTAAGACTCGATCAACCGTAAAATAAAAATTAACAATGCGCATACAGTCATTTCCCTTTCTTAAGAGTAAGTTGAACCGTTGAGCAAAAGGCAAAGCAAGGACAATTGTATTGCCCAAAACCAGTGTTCTAAAAAACGCCCTAGGCGGCCGCCTAGGCACTGGGCGCCTAGCAACCGAGGCGTTTTTGGGCAAATCGGGCGGAAAAATCGAGTTGGGCTTAGGCAGGCTAGGCGGGTTGGGCGGTTAGGCGGGCTAGGCGGTCCTAGGAGGTTTTTTTTTATCTATTTTTTATTAATTACGTGCTTTTTTCTTTTTTGGTTTCATGGTGGTATACTTATGGAAATGGTGTATCTAATTTGCAAATGATGGATTTACTACAAGTTCATCCAATACTTATGAAAATTGTGTACCTAATTTGTATTTTATCATTATTTTATTATCCATACAAGTATAGTTTTTTTTAGGTGTCAATATGCATTTATTTACAAGATATACAAGAAATTTACCTAAATCTGCCTAGGCCGCCTAGGCGCTAGGCGCTAGCCCGCCGCCTGACTAGCGCCTAACGTTTTTTAGAACCTTGCCCAAAACCCACAAAACTACATCCAGCTCCCCAAGTTTTTGACTCTGTCAAACTGCCCAACATTTTTTTGCTAAGCCTTGAGGCTGCTGGCGACGTCAGTTTTGATTTTGGTAATACAAGATTGAACTGTAGAAAGAATCATCCGGATTTTTTTTTTATCGATATTCCTGGTTACTAATACTAACTAGGAAATCTCTATTAAACAAAATAAAAGAGTGAATTCTTTCGCTATTATGGCAGGGTTTAGGCACATCACGGAGCAAACAGAGACCCCACCCCTCTGGGGCGCCCGAGGCAACAACTCTTTATGCCTATCACCTCGGCCATTGGATTTCCGATGGTTTGATAAAATCCAACAGCAAAAAAATTTGAAAATTTCTAGTTTTGCCATGTGGCACAACTTGGGGTGTCTGATTTTCAAATAGGAAGGACATCAATCGGCATGGTTAATTCAAAGGTAAAAATAAAAATAAAAAATAAAATAAAATAAAAAGAAATTTTTACTACAACTCAATATTCATTCCCCACAACACAATTCAATATTTATTTTTACTACAATCTCCTTAAAACACAATTTATGATTGTATCTATATTAAGGGGATGAGGGAGTGGACTAAACTTTACAATGGCCTTGCCATAATAATGTAATTTAACTTCACATTTGGCAAGAATCGAATCTAAGATAACTCATTTATAAGTGAAGAAGAATACTACCACACTGTAGTACTAAATGACTCCTTAAACACACTTAACAAACTTACAAAGTTCACTACACTCACAAACAGCATACTTCAAATTAAACACACCAAACAAATGGGGAAAAAAAACAAAAAAAACTTGTAAAGTTCACAGGAATTTTATTTCAAAAAGTAAACTTTACAAAGTTCACACTTAAACAAACTTATAAGATATAATATATATAATCATCATTACCCTTGCCCAAGTCTGAGGGGCGAAATTGCACAAAGACAATCACTTTTTAGAGGATAATTTACATGCCATTGCCCTCTTAATCCCAATGGGTGGACGTAGGGTTGGTTCAATATGGGATCCCAAACCGAAAATGGGATCCCGAATCCCTTGAAAATTTGAAGACCAATCCCAAACCAAAATTTTGGTTTTCCCAATTTTTGGGAATCTCAAAATATTTTCAGTATTTTAGGATGGTTTGGTATTCCCAAATTTCATACAAATTGAAATAACAATAATTTATGCCAAGTTAAATTAATATGCAACCAAAATAAAATAAGTAACAAACCCAAAAGCAAAAAAATAAGTTATAAACCTAATATGTTCGAAAACTAACAATACAATTTTTTGATTTCGTGTTGAAGAAATAGACATATTTGTGAGAGGTTTGTACCGGCAAATGTGGCAATAAAAAGCTATGGTTACTACATTAGACCACACCAATTATATTGCTACTAGTAGTTAGTAACAATTCAAATGTATAATAATACATATATAAATATATAATAATAATATATATATTATTTATTTTAGGTTCAGTATGGGATTACCGAAAGATTGAGTAGACAATACCAAATTTCGTACCGAAATTTCGAGATTGATTCAGTATTTCATCCCTAAAATTTTGAAAATTTTGGTTTGGGATCGGGATTTTTTTGGTTTGGTTCGAAATTTTTGAAATTTTTTTCCAACCCTAGGTGGACTAACCCTAAGGGAGAAAAAAAACTACCTACTTTTGTCCCCTCTTGTTGAAAAGGTGTTTGACAAATTTGCAATTTACAAGGAGAAAAGTTCTGTCAATCAGAAAATCACGGCCCCTAGATTTACCAAGTCGCCCCACCCCAATATTTAAGTGTCACATAGGTTCTAAGAAGAATGCTACGAGGTCACAAGTCACACGTGAGCGTGGGTGATTCCGAGACGTTGGTGCAGTATGATCACCACACTATATCAACGGCTAGGAGTCACCCGACTTTGTCACAACATTTGTTGAGTCTTGCGCTTACTGTCATATACACATTCAGGATGCTTTAGCATGAAACCAACCAAAACTTAAAATTCTCCAGAATCAGTAAATGATGCAGAAGCTTCGCTAACTAGGTATGGTTCCTACTATTTTTCTCACAAGATTTGATTAATTTGCTACTTCTGCAGTCTAGTTTAGTTTCACATGCTTCATATACAATCATGTGATTAAACAAACGCAACCCGATGCATGCACCCGTGCGAAGCACACACCCGAAACTATGCATAATTAATGAACATTTCATACTGCGAATAGTGTGGAAGGTAACTCATAGATTGCAACACAAAGATACAAAATTATATGATCCAGTTGTGTCAATAGAAGCATTGCGTGTCTAGCAGTTGAAAAAAAGCACCTCAAATTAAACTTCGTAATTTGTTAGAAGATAAGTCTGCAAGGTAGCAACACCGATACTAGTACAGCATTCTAATTTAGAACAGCCTAGCTACGTAGGCTTTTTAATGTTACTGAAACCAGGATTAACTCCAAAAGCAACCATACAAGGTTAATTTAACTAGTGCTTATGACTGCAGTAAAGATCCAGTTATGACTCACTCTACACGCCTGCGTTTCTTTGCTAGATTCTCAAACATCTGGTGGACATCAGCAGAGGTGATTGTCTTCGACGGATCAAACGATCCCTGCAAAATTAGGTAACATAGTTTGATCAGAACTTAAATGGTCTCTTATGTGATTTTAGATCATAAAAGCAATGCTTGGAACAAAATTAAAGTTTATAATCATCGAGGACATACCAGGAAAGAATGAAGCTCATCTTTCATGTCTGCAATGCCACTCAGAATCTCCATTTTCTCTACATGGCCAAGTTTATCGAGCATAGTCAACTCAGCCCCCTCCTGTTCCTGCAATTTTTCCTCTCTCTTCAGTTTTGCCATTTTCTCATACTCCATGATCGAGTCTTCCTTGTCAAGCAGAAACCTAATATGCTTCTGTATGTAAAACTCACTGCATTTTTCACACTTGCAGAGTGCATCCCTCCAGTTTTTAGAAAGAAACATTGGCTTACACTCTAAAACAGGGGAAGCAACCACCAGATTAACTCCAAGAACGCAAGTAACAGGTGGATTGGCATCTGTAGTGCATTGACCCGCATCTGTATTCTTCCCAGAATTTTCTCCAAGGAGCAATCTATCCCCACCAGATACAGGTTCAGAAATGGTATTACAAGTTTGAGAAATATCATTCTCTAGCCTTCTAGATCCACAAGCTAAAGGCGTATCGCTTAAAACCTCTTTATCCTTGGCAGACTTGATGGGAGCATCCTTTTGTCTGCCAGATGCCAAGATGGTTTGATTGTATAGTCTGATAAAAGAGCAAACTGCTGAGCATCCCTTACAAATAAAATCCTCATAAAGTGGTTCACCTTCCTCATCTCTTGGAATCTGTAGTACATAAAGGGACAAGTAGAATGTCAGCAAAGTACTTTGGATAGAATATCAGCCATTTTGAAAATTGATAAAAAGTTGGGATGTGGCCTTAGCAATTGAGAGAGGTGAGATAATTTCTTTCCAACAATGTAGACTAACCGTATACAAACAGTCCGATAAGTCTTCATACTAAATTTCAATTTTTCATGAATGTCTACTGTCTAGATTCAAAGAAGCTAAAGACTTGGTGATCTATACAACTATACTAAAATTATCATTACGTTATCAACTTTCCTCCAGACTAATGGAGAACTGATTGATTAACTGATAAGGAACAGTATCAGAGTATAGCCCGTCAACAGAGATCAAATTACAATCAGGAGCATAGGGTGATCCCCAAAATATTAGATTCACTGTTTCTAATGATTAATCAGCAGAACAGTGAGAAACTGTGAGGTTCATCCAATGCTTCAAATTGCAACCTGCTCGTAAATATGAGTTTAGTTTATTATCACCTAAACATTGGCAGTTCAAAATGGCAGAATGAGTTTCATTTATGTTACATCTAAACTTTGGCAGTTCAAAATGGCAGAGAGACCCAAAGCCCATCACCATTATACTAATTAAACCACTTGAACATGCCTTGCCTAATAGAATGAACAAGCATAATGTCGAGCTAACGCCTACAACATAATACAAAAGCAGCGGAAAACAAGGCAAACATGTATCCCAAGCTACCAACCTCATCAGAAGAGTCAAGACCAATGTGTTCCTCATGGAACCAGTCTTCACACACACAGCATTGTATCATCTCTACTTGTTCTTCAACATCTGGATCAGGATACGGGCGACTGCAGGTGCAGTATGATCCTTTGAAATTTTGATTGTAAGAATTTTCAACGTTTTCTACATCTTTATTGGGGGAAAGCTTGCAAAAGAACTCTCCAAATTTTGAATTTCCACAATCACATCTAAAATTTCTTTTGGTCCACAGTTCTACAATCTGCTCCAAGTAACAATAAAAGCCACCATTAGAAATAACCTAGTCAAATAAAGCACAAATACATCAATGTATAATAATTTTGCACAATAGAAATTTAAAGCAATACATATAACAAACCAGGAATCCTAGATCCCAAAAATTGAACAGTTTTAGAATGGGGGAGCAAGAGCTACTAGTTTTGGGTAGAAAGAACATAAATAAAACCAAAGGGTTCAACTTGAAAGGTATCTTTTGAGACTCAGAGGGTACGAGACAACCATCTAAGATGCTTTCCACCCCAGTCCAATAAATTCCACCAGTCTTGCTCCATATAATCTATGTTCCTCTCTATGTCTTAAATTTAAATCAATTCATATTCTATTAATAAGCTACTAACCACCTTTTTGTGTTTTTGGAACAAAATCTTTTTGTTTTGGTGAGAGAACAAAAATCTTTCAAGCCAATATGGAAACAAAGATTGCAAACCCTCTAAGGATATTCATCACTTCCCTCAGTCGACAAGGTCAATATGAGGTTCTTTCTCAGTTGGAGTGATTTGAATTGTGCAACTAGTTTGGTTATAAATAATAATCACATCACAAAACAAAAGACCCAGCTTTAATTTTATTGAGTTTGGATAATGGCTCACACTGGTAAAGATATCAAAATACCTCATGGCCATCATGGCAAGACAAGCTACAAGCTGTGCAAACTCCAGCATTCCCATCTGGGGTGCATGTCAGACATGAGAAAATTGCTTGCCTCTTCATATAACCATTATTATAGGTACACACCTTGCCTTCATCGCCTCCCAAAACCAAATCAACTTCCTAAGAGTGATCAAACACCAAAAAGTTGGAAATAATAGAAAACATTAGTAACTCGTTGTTTGTATTCTATTCAAATTTAAAATTACAAGACTACGAAGAGAGACAAAGCAGTCCCGGAAGATTTTTGCTCATGATCCTTGAACGATTTGTCTTGGCTCGTTGATTAAACAAATGTAGAAACAGGACATTGTTTTGAAGCTCAATAGTTATATTAGCCCTAAAGCAGAATCCATTGTCATTTAGATGAATCCTTCCTCATCGTCTTGCTCTAGAGTACCACACATGACCATTGTTAACTTAGTCAAGACTTGTGAACCAGGCTGTTCTGTGCCTAGCTATATCTCTAGAGAAGCTCTTAGATAAATTACCAAGATATCAAAATTATTAAACTTAACTCAACTGACCTCAAAAGCAGCAATTCCTCGCAACTTAATCCCTCCTTACAAAGTTTATTGTCTTTAAAAATTGCCATTCTCAACATATACTTATTTTGCATTTACAAGAAACAAACATTCTTAAATTCATGATGAAAATACAATCTTTAATCTTTAAAGGACGACTCAATGGAAGAGAAGTTACACAACCCCTTATGCCAATCGTTCCTTTGGGATCCGATTAGCCTATTATAACAAGTAACACAGAAAATCTACTCATTAATAAACACAATATTGTCTTCAAAATATCAGAAACACAAAAATGCTACATTTTTAACCATTTAATCACACTAATTAATTCCACAAGCCATTTGAACATGAACAGATTAGTTATTAATTATGATCAAAGTGGCACACCAGTTCCTGTTCCTCAACATCCTTAAGATACTCTTGGATCGAAACGGTGTGCTCAGCCTCATCCTCGAATGCATTGTCCATCTTCGCAAAGACGACCGATTGCTTCGGGCCAAAGCCTCTGCATCCAAAACCCAAAATTTAAAAGCAGAATTAGTACAAAATTAACCGACAATTACATAATTGCAAAAAAAAAAAAAAAAAGGATTAATTCGCAGTAGAACAGAAGAACCCTAGATTTCGAAAAATAGAAAGGGGGATGTCGAGAAAGGTACCAATTTTTCGGGCGACTTGGATTAGGCCACTCAGAGATCGAAGAGAATGCTGATGCGGGTGTGGGATTGAAGCACGGAAGAGGGGTTTCGGAGAGAGAAAAGGGAGAGAGAGGGTTGGGGATTTTATTTCTGTTAAAGGACTATAAGGACATTTTCCCGCCATATTGATCCACTAACATGAGAATAGAGCAATAGCGGTGAGTTTTTCACATGCCGTTCCCTCCAAATATGTGAAATATCTATTAAATGATTTCCTTATTGTTTTCATTTTTTAATTGAACAAATTTAAAAAAAAAATTATATATACTAAAACAAGGTATAAAATATCGATGATATCGGAAATATCGGTAATCTAAAAACACGGAAATTTCGATGAAAATATCGGGATATTATCGATATCGATAAAAATTGAATAAAAACCACGGAAATTGTAAGAAAAACTTGGAAATTTTTATTGAAACTTTGCAGGATATTTATTTAGTCAATTATCTATTAGTTTATCACAAAAAATTGGAAGGAAATGCATTGCATGATGGATTTAACTGATTTAAGTTAATTATATAGCGAGCTAGCAAACATTATGAGTATAGAAAATATGTAATAATTAATTAAAGAAGTTTAAACACACCGTAATCATTTATATATAATGAATTAGTATAATATTTTACACATTATACATTGCATGGTAAGATACATGAGTGACATAATACTACATAGAGTTCCTATAAGGTTCAAAATTTTCACTATCTTCATCATCTCTATGTGTAGAGTAAGTGTATTGTGAAGAGTAGTAAGCAATCATGATAATGGCTTTCAAGAACCAAAACTCAAAAGTCAATAGGAAATAGAATACTTTGATATTTTTCGGGATTTCAGGATTACCAAACAAATGGGATTTGAAAACCAATCCCATCTCGAAAATTTCGGTATTTTTTGGGATGGTTTTGGTTTGGGATTTTTCGGTTTGGGTTTGAGACTTTTTCGGTTTGGTTTGGGATTTTCGGGAAATTTTTCCAGCCCTACCATGTAAGTGACCAAATAAAAAATAGAAAAATTAAAAACCACATGTCATTAACTAAGTAATTAATCGACGCAATTTAAAATATAATACCACAAAAAATTTGGAATATGTGCAAATTTGTTTCTTGTAAAAAGAATTCAAAACAAAACCATATATATAAATATTTTAGCATATTATCACAAAAACATAAGTGATATGGTGGTTAAGGCGTTGAAGGAGAGGGCTTCGAATCCCTCTATGGTGTATGCTCAAAATTGAGATTTTTCAGAAATTTTTAAGTATTTTTGAATTTCTTATCGCAATATTAGATAATATCTGGTACAGTGAAATTACTACCTTGCCCCTGCTCTGCACGCGTCCGTGTGCTACGAACTCTCGAGGTTTCGATTTCGTCCACGCATCGATCATCGTTGGATACACTCTTTTGACTATGTTTGCTTTACCTTTCGTTTTCTTTTTCTCTTTCGCAAATTTTTTTTTTTTTTTTTTTAACGAAAGATAGAAATATATTAAAGACAAATAGAAAGGTTTACATCCTTAGCAAGGAAATTAAACAGAAATTCAGGGCCAATACAATCCCAAGAGAAAGAACGTCCCTCCTTGAATACATACTTAGCCACCGAGTGAGCAGCACGGTTGCCCTCTTTAGGCACAAAAGCAAAAGAGACAGACCTCAGTTTTGCGCTAGAATCTCAATGTCATCAAGAATGCATTCGATACTAAAATCAACCAAGATTTCTTTCTTCAACATCATAATAATCGTACTTGCGTCAGATTCAATGATAATGTCATCAAACCCATGGTCTATGCAAGACAATAAGGCAAACCTGATGGCAGAAGCTTCAGCAGCAGCTGCACTGTGGCTGAATCCAGTCCCAGACCCGCCAGCAGCCTGGAGCAAACCAGCGAAATCCCGCCCCAACCAGCCCACCCCCATACGCAGAGTATCTTTACACCAAGCCGCATCAGTATTTATCTTAATAGTTCCAAACCTTGGTCTCTTCCACTTGGTACATATACGATCACTGACCATGATAGTCTTCGGCATCCTCAAGCTGTGATCTTCTTGATCCGGAGCCAGACTGGCCTTGTACTCACCGGTGCTCTTTTTCCAGGCCTCCAAGATATCCAGAGGCTGACGATAGATCCCTTTAAAAACCACATCGTTCCTGTTTTTCCACAATCTCCATAGGCCGAAGGCAAAATCATGACGAATATCATCCGCATCGATCCTGTCCTTTACTTGGTCACAGAAGTTACACCAGCTTTCAAGAAAGTCTCTACCCTCCAGGACATGAGAATTAAGATGAAGAGGAGAGCAAAACCAGAAGACATGACTTATCTCACATCGGAAGAACAGGTGGTTTTCAGTTTCGTTGACGGCATTACAAACGCCACATACGTTGTCAACACGCATATGACGTCTTTTAAGGTTCCGTCTGACCGCCAGAGCATTATTACAGCAACGCCAGATGAAGATTCTGATTTTGTGAGGAACCTGCAGTCTCCAGATATTATTCCATACCATCTTTAGTTTGTTACTCTCACTGGGGTTGCCACGCCCTTTTCTTCCCAGAGCACCATCATCCATTAACTTTAAAGCCATACTATAACCCGATTTAACGGAATAGATCCCATTAGTAGCATAGTGCCACACTAGCCTGTCATTACTGCCAGCATGACTTAAGGGAATGCTTAAGATCGTTGAAACATCGCCCCGGTGAAACCCGTTTGCAATCAAGTCCGTTCTCCATACCTTAGTATCTGAGTCAATCAGATCACTTACCATGGTTTCACCGAGATTATTCATCGGACGGACCTTGAAAGTTTCGGGTTTGGGGAACCACGGGTCCTCCCTAATGTTGATGCTTTTCCCGTTTCCAACCCGCCATCTGAGCCCAAGGTTTAACACTTTCCGAGCTTCAAACAGGCCTTTCCAACCCCATGAGGTGTTCTTTCCTTTAGGCGCTTCTCCAAATTTGCTCAGTTGTTTTCCGCTCTGTGTTTCTCTCACACTCTCAAACGTTTTCCACCTGCATCCTCCTTCGGTTGAACTTTCGTTTTCGTTTTGCTTTGTGCTCTCTCGCTGTCAAACGATGTTCTCTTTTTGTGAGAATCGTCATCCCAAAACGTTGTTGTCTTTTTGTGAGAGGGTTGTATAGAAAAATTCCAAATATTTGTCTCTCTCTGAGTCTGGGATTTGGGTCTATTTGGAAGGCTTCTTGGCGTCTGTGAAGCTGAGGAGCAGCAGTTTGAGATTGTTGAGTTGAGTCCTGCGATAAAACAGGTTCATTTTTTTACATTTGGTTCATAATGCAGTGGTACTGAGATTTGTCTGTGTTTCAGCGGTACCAAAAACCGAGGGGCTTGCAGCTACAATTTCACTTTCGGACAGCGCATTGAAGTGCTTCAATAAGATGAGATCTGAACACGGTGAAGACTTATGCTTGAGATTGTTGTGTTGAGTCTCGTTGATTTTGAAATTTCTTTGTTATTCTCTTCCAGATCCTTTTTGGCATTTTTTTTTCCAGAAAGAATCAAGGTCGGCCTTGACATTGCATATTTGTCTCTACAGTGTTAAATCCAGTGTTTTATTTTGATTCTACATTCATTTTGATTTTACTTTTGACTTTCATTCTACGTTCATTTTGATTGAGTTGTTTTGAGGATTTTGCGGGAGGACTCCCTTTGGAATTGCCGAATGCTGTTGTTTGTCGGGTGGATGCCTTGGAAGCAGAGTTAACTGCTACTAAAAAGGTATAGAAGCTTAGCTAGACCTTAATTATCATGTAAGTAAGTAAACAACTATAAAAGTAGCTTCATTATGGTCTGTAGTCATATGCCACACCTTTGCATGACTCTTATCTACCTTTGAAATTGAATTTGGGATTTGATTATTTCAATTAGTTTCTTTGGTTTATATTTCAAGGTCAGCCGGTTTTGTATTTAGCATCAATTAATTGCTTTTTTTCTTGGTGACTACCTAAATGTTTACACTTTTCAGTTTAACAGAAAATGATAAATTGAGACAAACTTGGAACCTAATAAATCAATATTAGCGCAAGCCCATAAACTTATTTCGTGACTATCACAATATTCTTTCAATACTCTACGTTTTGCTTACAATTTTGTTCTCTCTAGGACGTTAAAGTGCATTTTTTGTTTTTAAGTGTCGCTGCCAAATACCAACTGTTTGATTGTGTTTTCTAACCTCTTTTTTCTCAATAATGTTAATGTTTTGTGATACCATTTTTACATCTTTCAAACACAACGTTTAATACAATTTTCAAATCCAATCATTTCGAGCTCGGATTCAGCCAGCCTGTGGTAAGCCTTTATTTTTGGATTGCTTTCATTTGTTTATATGTGAATCAATAATTTTTTTGCAAATAATGAATGTCGCAATTGCTGATATTCTTTGTTTAAAAACTTGAACTGTAGATCTTTGCAAAATATCCATATATGGATCAGTGCCATGGACTCTTCTCAACCTATGGACCTCAAGATCTCAGTGAGTCTTCCATCATTTCTCCAACCTCACTATATATGGAACTATTACATTTGCAATCATATTAATTCCTTGAACACAATATTTATATTTCTCTATTACCTGCTAATTTTGGAATATATTATCGTTTCCTTGCTGGTACATGAAAATGAAAATATAAAAATACAACCGGTTTAAGAAGCTAATCTCTTTTAATGTTCTTGGTTGTCTACAATAATTTTTAGTTATGTGAACTAGAAACCATGTGTGATTTTTCTCTTATCACCCCTCTAGATAGTTTCGTGAATGAAAATAAGCACGTCTCTGTTTGTCTTTGAGTTTTACTCTAATTAAAAGTCGGAACAATGTCAAGACAAGCAGAAAATCTGTTTCTCTACAAAAGAGGCAGTTGTCACTGGTAATCTAGGGAAAATAATTCAGTCAAGATGAAAATAAAATGATTAAAGTAAATAATAAACCTTATATAATTTGTTTCTAATCTTCGAATAATTATTGTTGTGTAAATCCTGATAGCACAATTGGTGCGGCTCGAATGGATCTGTACCAGAGCCTCTTGTGCAGCAGTATGGTGGCTCTGCAGCTCACAACACTGTATGTTCTTATTTTATTCTTGGGTTAGAGCATGCATATATTATCAGTTGCTAGATGTCATGATCAATCCCTATATTATATGTGAAGTAAAAAAAGAAGGAACACTCTATAACTCTAATCCGATGTCCATTGAAAAGAAAACAAATCACATTGCAGACCAATGTGTTAAAATTGTGGTGAAATAAAAAGATGAATACAATGTTTCTAATAGAGATTACCCATGATAACAAAATGGTCAGGCGGAGTCATTTAATGGTTGTCAAGGTTGGGTGTTTGTCTTAGTGTGGTAGGTAGTCTTGTGCCAATTTTTTTATTTTACTGCTCAGGCAGAAATTACAAAGGAGCTTATTTGTTGGAGATTTGAAGAGTAAAACTTAGCGGCGCTGTACCGCTGGAAGTGGTAATTGCTAATCAGGTTTCCACTCTTTTTTCCACATACTTTGGTTCAAAAGCAATATCATTTGAATGAGGAAACATTAAGTTAGCATCTCAAGCGAACGGTATTTGCCACTTCCCTTTTAAATGAATTTTAAGATCAGCTCCGGTCTATGTTTGTTTAACAATGTTGTATCATTCATTATATAGTTTCACAAAGATCGTGCATAATTCTTGCTGAACTTGGTTTGGTTTACTTTTGTTTAGGGATAGAGTGAGCGAATCACAAGTCAACCAAGTCTTGAATGATGAATTGAGCCAGATCATTGAGGTCTCTTTGCCAAGTTAAATTTTCATTCTACTTTTTATTTGTAATGCTCAGTTCTTCACTCAAACATTGTTTATGAAGTGAATGAATTTGCATATGTTTGAATAAATTTCCAATCCCGCAGCAACGCGCGGGCACCGTTGCTAGTTAAGAACCTAAAACCCCTCAAATTTTTAGTGTCATTTCAATTTGGTTTTAATTTTTTTAAACATTTCAAACAAGTATCTAACTTATTAAAAATGTCGTATCCGTTAAGTCCTAGTTAGATTTTTCAGCAAGTGTACAAGTGGCAACAATAGGTCTTACTTTTTAGCTTACATGAAAACTAAAATAACAATAAAAATATCTTTAGAAAAACATGAATATAAAAAAATAAAAATAAATTAACAAATGCATAGATAAAATGAAAACAAAAATGAAGATCGAAAAATATCAAACCCTGGCCACCTCCAAGTTTAACCTACAACCACCAAAACTCCATCCCAACCCTTTATATTCAAAACTCACTAACTGAGTATATCATTGCCAACATTAATATTAGTTGTCTTAGAATCTAAATTTCGAACATAAGTTATATAATTTGGAACCCAATTATCAAACGGGGTATTGAATTAAATCGAAAATGGACTCAAACTGAAATTACATCAGAAGAGCAATCTACTAACAAAGAAGAGGGTTACAAATTCATATAGGGTTTCAAGGATCTTGTTTCTACTCATGTGATTTGATTCGTCGATTCTCGGCTCGTAAAGCTTTCAGTTTTCTTTGTGGGTGGTGAAGATGGTAACAACTGCATCATGGCAGTCCATACCATTTTAGCAACCTCCATGACTATTTTTTTGATGTTGGCGGCTTAAGTTGTAGGGTGAAGTTGGTGATAGTGCGTTGGGTTTAAAGGTTAATAGAATGATGGGGGAGGTGGTGACCGTTAGTTGATGGAGGCCATGCTTTGATGACCTTCTATTGATTTTAGAGACAAAGTTATAGTTAATTTAACAAAAATTAACTAAGGCATAAGGGATGTGACATTTACTATAGGTTAAGTACTTGTTTGTAATGTTTAAAAAAGTTGAAACCAATTAGAATAATACTAAAAGATTAGAGGGTATTAAGTTTTTATCCTTGAAAATTAAAATAAAAAAAATAGTGTTCAGAAGGTCATTGCCGAAATCACTCTTATTTTCTTCTTTATAAAAGATTAAAAAAAACAATAACTAAAGAGGAAAAAAACATAACTTTTCTTGAAAATTCGTCACACCTGAAATGGTATACTGAGAATTAATTCCACATAAATGGGAGGATGGACCTTGCATGTACTTACAAGTAAGTTGGGCTATTCCCCATATTGCCAATTAGTTTTATAATGAAACCTTAGCTTCTTCATTGAGATCAAACCCCATTTCATCTTTTTCCCTTTCAATCCAGAAATACACACTCATCTTCCTCTCTCACCCACCGCAATTGAATCAAAAGTGCTTTTACAGATTCAATTATACGTCTAAACTCCTGATACATTTGATGTAGCCAAAAAACTCTTTGATGTAGCCAAAAAACTCCACCTCCCTTTATAATTTAAATTTCCTCCACCTACAAACCAAACAATCAATTCAACTACAAACTTTCAGAAAAATATTTTCCCGGAAAATGGAATAATTTCAAAGCTAATGAATGAACGTATTCAAATGGATAGCAAACGAAAGCGTTATTTGAAAACTTGAATTCTTATTTTATGTTTATGTTTTCAACACTACTAGAACTATGCTTATAGGACACCATTTTTTGCACACCATTTGCAATTGGTAGCCATAGATATAAAGCACTCACTCTTACTATTTTTTGGTGTCTTTACAGTGGGATGCCACTGATATGGGTGGCCTTCAACATTGAGACACCAATGATTGGTGGCTGTTAAATAGCTTAATTTCTTAAAAAAATAATTTCTTGTGCATTTGTAATTAAATGGGCCACCAATAGAATTTATCGGGCACCAATAAAACAAATAAAAAAAACAATTGACCTCTCTCCCCTTCACAAAAGTCCAACTCCTCCCCTTCATTCTCTCTGCTCGTTTCCCCTTTCATTCTCTTTCTCCTCCCTCTCGTATCCTCTCTCTCCCTCTTCTCTTTCATGCGGCAGCGCCTCTGTCCTCCGGTCACCAATAACCATCAAATTATACCTCCAGAATCCTCTTCCCATCCTCTTTCCAACCCTTAAATTAGTTTCTACAAATTCGTAGTCGAATTCGTAGTCGAATTTTTTGATTTTCATATCTAAGAAACGGTGACCGCGGGTTTTCTGGCCAATTTTCGGCAAAGTCTGCCAAAATTGGACCTCAACCCAAGAGGTAAAAATGATCCTCTCCTCGTGGCTGTTCCCTACTGTAAGTGATTTCTCAAAATAAAAACTTTTAGTTTTTGGATCGATTCTAGATTTCGAATTTTAATTCCATTTTCTCTATGCATGTCGAAGATTGGGGACGAAGAAGGTTAACCAAGGTTGTTTCCAACTTGGGTCGAGAAGAATGGAAGCCTTGGAATGTTGTGGGTGAAACTAAGGTGAATAGGGTGATTTTCTCCTTAACCACAAGGTAACTGATATTACAGTTGTTTGTACCATACTTGACAAATCCCGAAACTACCGAGCACCAGTCAACGTTATACCGTCAAGGACCAAGAAGAGTTTCCCTCCAACCAGGAGGCCAATCACAGCACGACACGTGTCAACATCAGAAGCCAATACAACACGACACGTGTCAATGTCAGAACAAAGCTAGAAACTCTCTTCTATAAAAGGAGATCATTCTCCCACAATATTTTCTAATGTCATTTATGCTAAATCATTCACTAGTACTCACAAAAGGAGAGCTTGAACTTATGTACTTGTGTAAACCCTTCACAATTAATGAGAACTCCTCTACTCCATGGACGTAGCCAATATGAGTAAACCACGTACATCTTGTGTTTGCTTCCCTGTCTCTATCCATTTACATACTTATCCACACTAGTGACCGGAGCAATCTAGCGAAGGTCACAACCTTAACACTTTCTGTTGTACCCAAGTCCTCACTAATTTTGTGCATCAACAACAGTTAAAGTTGAACTCCCAATCTTGAATCTTTTAGATCAATAAGTTCTAGTTATTTTTTTTTATCTATAACAATATTGCTTATTGTGCATCGCTTAGAAATCTCCTTTTCTTCACACTGTCATATTAACAGTTTTCACTAATTATTGGCATTTCTTTTTGCAGTTCCAATTTCAGTTGTTGCTTCTTTTAGAAAAATGAAAAGGCTCGTTTGAAACAATTTGTCAATAGCGACTGCATTGAGGGAATCTTCCCTCCTTGTAATGTTCTAAGTTTGTTCTCTTTTATAGAATTAAGTGCAAGTTGAATGGCAAATATGCTAAAGATAAGCATAAATATTAGGCCAAATTGGATTGTTCATCCCCGTGGTCATAGGACACTTGCATGATGACCCCCGTGGTGAAAAAACTAGGAATTAAACCCCTGTGGTCTAGAATGTTAGCAAATTTAATCCAAAAGTAAGATTTCTGTTAAAGGACTGTTAAAAGTTGGGGTAAAACTATATTTCAGTTCCAATTGACATTTAAAATAAATAATTTTTTTATAACAATTAACAAAAAAAATAATGCTTAATTTTTTAAATAAAAAAAATATAGTTTTTAAAACTGTATTGGAACTGAAAATACAGTTTTACCCATACTTTTAACACTCATTTAACAGAAATCTTACTTTTGGACTAAATTTGCTAACATTCTTAATCACAGGGGTTTAATTCCTAGTTTTTTCACCACGAGGGTCATCATGCAAATTTCCTATGACCACAGGGATGAACAATCCAATTTGGCCTAAATATTAAATCTCTTTCTTGTAGGTTGTGAGTTCGAATGGGAAGGTGTAACATATTCATCCTCTTTCATTAATTGAAAACAGGGATCCAAAGGTATCCTTTCGAACTTGATTTTAATTTTTTTAGTTTTTGTTCTTAATTTTTTTAAGTATTATTTTTCAGAAACTTCAAGCATCTAATTTGTGCATTATAGTGCACTATTTTGGTAGAGAACCTACCTGAGGATCACTAAGTGGAGAACCTTAAGAGTATACTTGGTGAAGATGGAAAGTATGTTCTTTTCCTTCTTTTTCTCCCCATTCTGTGACATTACTGTTCTCTTCAATTTTGGTTATAGCATGGTTTTCAATCTTCTAGTTAAGAGTATACATATCAAGTTGTATTTCATACGATAAAAGTGTAACATCTGTGTCTTTCTATCTCAATCTCGCCCTCAATTGCTTTTAATTTTGGGCGATTATTCTGTCCTTATTGTATAGCTTGTGAAGCAAAAAAAACCTAAGCATGATAAAATTACTTAACAAATTTATCTTATTACTTAGTTTTCAGAGCCACCAAGTCTATCAATATTCACCAAGTCCATCTCTTCCTCTCTTTACCTTTTGTTTTATTTCTCAAGGAAGTTGATTGGGTTGAACAAAAAGGAATAAAAAGAAATGAAAACAAATTGAAATTTGTTGGTGCTTGTGTTGATGTTGAATTTGTAATATATTAAGACCCAAAAATTAGATAAATGGTTCACTTTGATGTAAATTGATAACATCAAGCCACTAATTCAAAACAGCGAGTCTTACCTTTAGAATGTTTTTGTGATGTCATAATTGATAACCATATCCACTGATCGAAAATTTATCTACTCGCAAGTATATCACTTGTGAAATATGTTGAGACTCATGAATTTATCTGCTGAAAAATTGATCTACTTGCCACATCAGTTTTTTGTGTGGAATGTTAGAGACTCATACTCGCAAGTATATGCTTTTTATGCAGGTTAACAATTAAACTGTAAAGGCATACTTTTGTGTGTATTTTAGTCATTTGATCCATGTGCTTATGTGTTTGCAAGTAGAGATAACAATTACTGAGGCTCAAGCATTACGAGGAGCATGTCACTCTTAAAAAACATGATTGGAGGTGTTCAAGAAAATGTGAAGTCTTTTAAGTGGCAATTTCCTTCAAATTTGGTGCCTGTTTCGTACTTTGACGGCTAGTTTCATATTTTTTAGTATAGCTCATTGGTTTTAGACCTTATTTTTTTGAATATGTGATTAGTTATGGAAGACTATAGCAAAACTGCAATTTTGTGTAGCCTATTAACTATATATATATTTGGGTGCCCAGATTAATGGCCCTTTTTAAAAAAAAAAAAATATTACAATATGGCCACCAATGTATAAAAATTATATAATATTTCAAAGGTGTAACTATTCATTGTGCTACCATTATCTAATTGGTGGTGCTTGTAACAATAGAGTCCTCTACATAGGACATGTTCTCTAATTTAATGGCTGCTTGGTGGTCATTGAGGTTTGCTATCAATGAGTGTAACCACAATTGACAATAGACACCAATGAAAGTGGTGTCTTTTAACCAAATTTCTAGTGCAAATTCCATGAATATTCGTTTCACTGCTTATCTTGTTTCTTGTTTCTGCAGTATTCGTTGGGAGATGGGGTGGTGGTGGCTATAGGGTCGAAGGGAGAGGAAGAGGAGGGCGGTTCTCAGGGTTGAGTTTGTTGGGTTTTCTTATTTTTATTTTTGGTTATGTATAATTTATTTTCCTAGTTCTTTTAAAAAAATTAATATTGAAGCTAACTTTGGTTAGTTAGTGGGACACATGACAAGCTATTAAGAGGGAGGTGAGCGTATACTAAAGTTAATGGTAGTGATAAAAAATGCTCCTTGCTAAACTTACAGCTGAGTTGATAACTTATATGTGACACTGAATTACATCAAAATTGCATGTTATAAAAAGAGTAATGTTAGATCAACTTTTCAGACTAAATTTGCAAATTGTGTAATGTGTAACAAATAGGAAATAAACATGTTGTTAATTAACTCTTAAGTGATAATCCAAATATCAACATGGTCATATGATTTATAAAATATGATTTAAATAGATGATTTTCCTAACATTACTCTTATAAAAATAGGGGTGTGATATTCACACACCCCATTTTACTTCTCACACACCCTTCTAATTTTCGGCCATTAGATTGGATGAATTGAAGAAAATCAACGGATAGAAATTAACAAGGGTGTGTGAGAAATAATTTGAGATGTGTGGATAGCACACCCCTAAAAATATTCCGGTTCTTAAAGCATTTATTGTGATTAATTGGAAGCAAATTGCTTTGATATTTCTTCATTCAGAGCCTGTACACTTACAGAAAACTACCACATTCTTATAGAAAATTATTGGACAAAATTACAGTACTTTTCACTCAGTATATTCGTAGATTTTCTTTAAGAAGAAGATTACGATGTTTCACTGATAAAACAACATTGAAAATAATATCATGAGAACTTGGCCCCAAAAAGATCCTTGCAAACTAGATCTAAAAATAATACAATCAAGTATCAATAATCGCAAAACAATAAGTATACCTCAAGCATTTGTCCGATCTCATCTGAAACTACACGATTACATATAGATCAATAAAATTATTAAAATTCATGTTATATAGAGATCATGTGAGAACAAAATCTCAAATCATAAATTAGCATAAGGAATACAATGCCCATAGGTTGATCACATCACATGATCGCCATTACGATCCCAAAACACCAAATGAAGATCCAGCAAGTCAACACAGCTCTGCCCTTCACACATAGATCCAAAAAAGGTGTCACACCAATACTTAAATTATTATCATTATGCTTGACGATGATCTAATACTACATGCACTAATTCTTATCCAATATTTCTAATAGCAACAGATGTGACATATAACATATTAGTTGATGAAGATGCTTCAAATTTAAACAAATAAAATGATGTCACATGATCAGTTGTGGAGTTTCAAAGGTTAAAACATGAGTTGGTGCCCCAAGATTTTTACATGATGAAGATATTCTTGCAATTTCAGTCTTTTCAGGTCTCTCAAGAATTGCGAAGTTTAGCATAGTGGTAGTAGGGGTGGGTTCGGTACGGTTACCGTACCAAAACCCTTGTACCAATTACCGTACCAAACTTTCGGTTTGGTAAAATCTATTACCATTACCATACCAAACTTTCGGTATACCGAAGTTCGGTATTGCCAAAAGTTCGGTTGGCATGGTATGGCAATGGTAATTGCCATTTTGTTTTGGGACAAAATAAGTTTTTGTTTTTTAACCCAATTCGAGGGCAAAACTTTTTTTTTGGGTACCTTTATCTCATACATTATAGATTAAATTCATCATTCACAATTCACACACATAATAATTCAAATGATGCATAAAGATTCATCATGAAAATTAAGCTTACAATCAAAATAAAAGTTACGAACCAAAACAAATAGAAGTTAACAATCCAAATAGAAATTAAAGTTTCAAACCAAATGAAAATTGGAAGTAAACTTCAAAAAGGAGAATTCATTGATCAGTTATTCAAGCTTGAGATGTCAAAGTTTTTGGAGGAGGCATTGAACTTGTAGAAGATTGAGTTTGTGTCAAGCCTACATTACAAACAAAGAAAACATATTAATTAGTAGCAAGAAGAATTAAAGTTGAAAACCATTTAATAACAAATTTACTGAAAAAATTAAAGCATATCTTTCTTATTTTCTCTTCTTCCATTTCCTTGTAAAATTGAAGCATATCTTCCGTTGGTTCCTTGTAGAAGTTTACTTCATATGCCCTAAGCCAACCACTAGTACACACTAGTGCCTCCATTATTTTAGGAGTCAAGGATACCCTAAAGGGTCCACAACCCTCCTCCCTAGGCTAAATGCATTTTCAATAGCAACAATAGAAGTGGGGGTTACAAAGATATTTTGGCTATTTGTGAAAGAATTAGGAACTCTTTTGTGTTTGATTTCCACAATTTCAAGATATCAAAGTCACCAACAACAATGCTAATATAAGTAGGGTTTTATTTTCAAATTATTGGAATATTATAAATATGTGTTATATAATTATCCATTATATAATTTATAAATGATATATTATATTGTATTTTCGGTATGGTACGGTAATACCGTGGTAATGGTATCCATTACCAATACCGTACCATGAAATTTCGGTACGGTACAATACCGTACCATTACCGATTGGTACAAAAAATTTGGCATAAAATTGGTATGGCACGGTTGGCAATTCGTTTGACACGGCAATTTGGCAAAAAAATCCACCCCTAAGTGGTAGGCGTGGGAATCCTAAGTTTTTGGTGTCTCATTTGTTTTTGTGACTTTATGAATAATACTCGTGCCACACCTCATCCCAGATTCGTCGACCTCCCCACACCTTGTCTTTGCTGCCTTCGGGAGTCGGATGGCTTTGCAAAGTGCATCAAACAGAATCATGTACCGATCCTCGTTGATGTGTGAGCTTTTCCATGTCTTGCCGAACAAAATCGTCATCAGAGGGCTACTCTACTTTGCAACGATGGATCTGATGTCTTGGAAGAATGACTGGGTTCTTCAGGCGAAGGCTGCAATGGTATGGTGTTTTGGGAAGAACAGGCTACGGGTGTAGCTGCCATTTAGGCTTGCTTCTGCAATTGAGGGAGCCGGTGGACCGTGGAGGGAGGGAGAGAGAGAGAGAGTCAATGGCTGTCTGTGGGAGTGATGTTATCAAGAAACAAAATAAGAAAAGGAAAGGTTAGTGACAGACACAGAAAGAATAAAAAACAGAAAAGGTGGGGAAGAAAGATGGTCGTTGGGTAGAGGGACGGTTGGTTGATTAAATAAAATTATATATATATATATATATAGGTTGTGATTTTCACACTTTCTTAACTACTTTTTCCACACTCCTCCTTATTTTTTAGTACTTAATTGATATCCTATTATTTAATTTTTCATCAATACCCCTCCCTATTTAATCTTTCATTAATTACCATAAAAAAGGAGGAAGGGTATATATGGAAGATTAAATAGTAGGATATCAATTAATTATTAAAAAATAGGAAGGGGTGTGAGAGAAAAGTAGTTAAGGGTGTGTGAAAATCACAATCCTATATATATATGGATAAAAAACTGTTTGTAAATTTTGGAACAATCTCATACATCTGTTAGTCAAACTGTTACATATGCCGTTAATTATGACGTGGCGTCCATGTGGACAATGACTGGACGCCACGTGTCATCCACGTTTTCTTCTTCTTCTTCTTCTTCTTCTTCTTCTTCTTCTTCTTCTTCTTCTTCTTCTTCTTCTTCTTCTTCTTCTTCTTCTTCTTCCTCCTTCGACTGCAACTTTTCTTTTTTTTTTCTTCTTCTTTCTCCTTCTTCCTTCCCCTTCTTCTTCTTCTTCCTCCGAATTTGGGGAAGATGAGGGTTTATTTATTTATTTTATAAATAATTTATTTTTAATTTCCACGTAGATGACACGTGGCACCCAATTATTGTTCACATGAGTGCCACGTCACAGTTAACGGGAGACTTAACAGTTTGACTAACGGATGTATGAGACTGTCCCAAATAAAATTATATATATATATATATATAGGTTGTGATTTTCACACTTTCTTAACTACTTTTTCCACACTCCTCCTTATTTTTTAGTACTTAATTGATATCCTATTATTTAATTTTTCATCAATACCCCTCCCTATTTAATCTTTCATTAATTACCATAAAAAAGGAGGAAGGGTATATATGGAAGATTAAATAGTAGGATATCAATTAATTATTAAAAAATAGGAAGGGGTGTGAGAGAAAAGTAGTTAAGGGTGTGTGAAAATCACAATCCTATATATATATGGATAAAAAACTGTTTGTAAATTTTGGAACAATCTCATACATCTGTTAGTCAAACTGTTACATATGCCGTTAATTATGACGTGGCGTCCATGTGGACAATGACTGGACGCCACGTGTCATCCACGTTTCTTCTTCTTCTTCTTCTTCTTCTTCTTCTTCTTCTTCTTCTCTTCTTCTTCTTCTTCTTCTTCTTCTTCTTCTTCTTCCTCCTTCGACTGCAACTTTTCTTTTTTTTTTCTTCTTCTTTCTCCTTCTTCCTTCCCCTTCTTCTTCTTCTTCCTCCGAATTTGGGGAAGATGAGGGTTTATTTATTTATTTTATAAATAATTTATTTTTAATTTCCACGTAGATGACACGTGGCACCCAATTATTGTTCACATGAGTGCCACGTCACAGTTAACGGGAGACTTAACAGTTTGACTAACGGATGTATGAGACTGTCCCAAAATTTACACTTTAAGTATGACTCTGAGACGAAAAAAACTTGATGTACTGAATGTTGAAAACCATGAAACATGAATGTAGTAAACAATTTTTTACATATATATATATATGTATATATGTATATATGTATATGTATATATCGGTGTTTTTAGTAGTCATGTAAGCGACTTCAATATCTTATCCAACCAAACAATTAATATCAATTAACAAAAAATATTTGTGTTTTTTGTCAATGGTATGAATATTTTCTGTTTTATTATGCGGACTTTCAATGCCACAATTTTTGTTCT